TTTTTTTTTTTTTTAATTTGAATTTTATTGTGGTAAAATATATATAACAAAAAATTTGTCATTTTAACCATCTTTTTCAAATGTAATTTTTAAATGAAAGTATAAAATACAGATATGAAAGTATGTAAATCTAAGTGTATAGCTTGGTAAATTTGATTAAGTGAATACGCTTGTGTTACCAGCACCCAGATCCAGACACAGAGCGTTACCAGAACCCCCTTCTAGTCACAGACTGCCCCCCCAAGGGTAGCTATTATTCTGACTTCTAACCCCACAGATTAATTTTGCCTGTTTTTGAACTTTGTATAAATGAAATAATTCAGCTTCTTTTGCCCAACATTATGTTTGTGGAATTCTTCCCTGTTGTTCAGTGTTGTTGTAATTTGTTCTTTCTCATTGCTTTATGGCAGAGGTTGGCAGATCTTGGCCCATGAGCTACATGTAGATGACTATCGGTTTTTGTTAATAAAGCTTTATTGGGGCAGAGCCATGCTCATTTGTTCATATATCGTCCATCGCTGCTTTTATTTATTTGTTTATGTATAATTTATTGTGTTCTGTTGTTGTTGTTGAGAATACACACAGCAGAACATACATCAGTTCCACAGTTTCTGCACATACAATTCAGTGGTACTGGTTACGTTCTTCAGGTTGTGCAGGCGTTCTCACCTTCCTTTTCTGAAACATAGCTGCTTTTATGTGACAATAGCAGAGTTGCAACAGAGAGCACACAACCCTCAAAGCCTAAAAATTTACTATCTATCCCTTTATGGAAGCTTGCCAGCCTTTGCTGTATAACTGTATAGTATACACATAAAATATACATTATGCAATATATGTGTATCTCACAGTTTACTTTTCCTACTGTGCTTGACATTTGAGTTGTTTCATTTTTCAGTTATTACAAATAGTGGTGCTGTGACCATTCTTGGGCTTGTCTTTGGTGAACATATGCACACATTTCTCTGATGGTGCAGTAGTGAAAGCATTGGGCTGCTAACCAGAAGGTCAGTGGTTTGAACCCACCAGCTGCTCTTTGGGAGAAAGATGAGGGAATCTGCTTCTGTAAAGATTTACAGCCTTGGAAACCCTATAGGGCAGTTCTACTCTGTCTTACAGGGTCGCTGTGAGTTGGAATTGACTCGGTGGCAGTGGGTTTGATTTTTGATATCTAAGAGCAGAATTGCTGGGTCATAGGGAATGTGTATGAGACAGTGTTAGTAAATAATGTCTAACAGGTTTTCATATTGTTTCCTGCAAGGTTTTTGAGCAAGTAAACAACGTGTTGAGTTGAGGTTTAGGTAGATTTTTTTTTTTTTTTTTAATTCAGCTGCAAGATGGATTAGAGACTGGAGGAGACAGGCCTTGGAAGGCTATTGCAGTAGTCTTTTGGAAAAGGATAGTGTGATAGGGCCCTTTGGCAAGGGGTGATAGTAGTCTACCCTGGGGGCAGGGGAATAGAAATGAGAGAAATTTTAGAGTTAGGGTCTTTAGAATATGGAAACTAGTTGTATATGTGTGATGACAAAGGAAGAGGAATAAAGGTGGACACAGACCAAGTCCTCTTGCCTTGGAGAATACTAGTGTTATTAATTGCGATAGAAACATAGGTGACTTAATGTGCAGTTAGGGTGGTTAACTGCTATGGTAGGAAGAGGGGAGTGACCTAGTAGAGAAGAGACAAATGAAATGTAGACAGCAGAGGAGATGGTGACCTGAAGGAAAGATGTATGTGTAGATGGGATCAAGAGGCCAGCAGATTACATGCTATTTTTAGAGAGACACAGAAGGACCAGTGAAATCTATCAGTAATACTGACACTGTAGTAGTAAGTGCTACTCTGTACAAGTTATTGCTACATAAAGTGCTTTCTGCATAGAATCCATTTAATCCTCAAAAGACCCTATGAAGCAGGTACTGTGATTGTCTTCATTTTATAAATGAGGACACTCCAGGGAGTTGAGAAGTTGGGGAATACAGTTGTGGTTGTAGGTTGCTGTGGAGTCCATTCCGACTCAGAGTAGCTCCACGTGTGTGCAGAGTAGAGCTGCTCCGGAAGGTTTTCAGGGTTGTGACCCTTTGGAAACAGATCATTAGGCCTGGCTTCTGAGGCACCTGTGAGTGGGTTCAGACCACCAACCTTTAAGCTTAGTGGTGCAGCATTTAACTGTTTTTGCCACTCAGGGACTCGTAGGGAAATACAGAGCAGAGGTAAAACGACAGGCCACGCTAGATTAGGTCATTTCAGTTGTTTTGGAATTCGTTATATGGTTAGTCAGCTTAGGGTAAGTTATGGTATGGTAACAAAATAATCTGAAAATCTCAGTAGCTTAAAAACACAAAGGTGTATTTCTTGCTCATACTGTGTGGTCATGTTGGGTTTGCTTTGAGGCTGTTCTGTGTCACCACTCTGGGATCTAGGTGAAGGTGCAGGTCTTACCTGGGACTTGTTAATCTTATGGTGGAGGGCAAAGAGAGGTGGCGGAATCTCGAGATGGCTGTTAACACTTGTGACCAGAAGTGGCAGAATCTTGAGATGGCTGTTAATCCTTGTGACCAGAAGTGGCACTTCACTCACATTTCAGTGATAAAAGCAAGTTACCTGGTTAGGCCTGGTAGCGACAGAGTGGCCATGTATATACTCCTTCCACAGGGAGGGGCAGCATCTCTTTGGGACAATCACAATGATCTGGTCCTTTCCCCCAGCAAGACTTAGTTGCCAGGGAACAAAGAGGACCTGCCGAGGGGCTGAGCCCAGGGGAGAAATTGGCCTGAAGGAGAGAGAGTAGAGTGGGATCTGAGGATCCAGGCTGGGAAATGTGGAAACAGACAAAATTTAAAAAGTGTATGATTCAGTTTAGTATTTTAAATATTTATTTGTGAATATGTAATAGGTTCTCATGCTTCAGTATCCAAAGAGGAGCAAAAGGATGTAAAGAGAAATATTTCCCTTCTGCCCTGTTTTCTGACACTCAGTTCTTTTGTGCAGGTGCAACCAATGTTACATCAGTTTCTTGGGTGGATGTTTATGCATATATAGGGAAGTGTGTGTGTGTGCGTGCGTACACGTGTGCTCTTTTCTACCCTCTTACCCCTTTTAACACAAACAGTTACATAGATTCTAGTGTAAATGCGTAATTAATTTTACCGGTCCACAGTTGTTGGACCTTTCTTTAGGTTGCTTCCGGTTTAGTGTTATCGCACACAGTGAGGCCATGAATTGATTTGCACGTGTATCAGTTTGCACATGTGTGGACTTATTTACATAATAAACTTGTAGTTAGAGAGTTGCTTGGTCAAAAGGCATGTGCATTTGTGGTACACCATCCAATCTGCAGCCTATACGACTATGAGACCAGAAGAACTAGATGGTGCCTGGCTACCACTGTCATCCACTTGGAAGGGGATCTATGTAGGAGATCCTTGATAGAGAGGGAGAACAATGTGGAACAAAACTCAAAATTATTTGGAGAAAAAAAAAAGGTGGGGGGACCAGGTTTGTTGGTCTGATAGAGCCTGGTGGAACCACTGAGACTATGGCCCCTAGCTGCCCTTCAGGTCTGGAATTGAACCCACACCTGTGGTGTCCAGCCAAACAAATGACAGGCATATGAGTTGAACGTTTACCTCAGGTAGATACATTCCTTGGAGAGAACACTCATGGGAGAAAAAAGGGCTGCTTATGCACAGGGAGACAGCTCAGGGGGCCGGAGTGCATGGAGGGGTGGACACAGGGAAGAGGTAAGTATGGGGAGGAAGTGGGAGGGGAGCTGTTGCATTGTGGTAAACTGTGGTCAATGACATGAGACAAAGTATATGTGAACTGCTATGTGGAAAGTGAATCTGCTCTGTAAATCTTCACCCAAATCACACACACACACACACACAAAGGCGTGTGCATTTGAATTTAATTATTTGTAAGGACCTGTATTTTAAGCACTTTCTTAAAAAAAAAATAGGAAGTACATTCACATGGTACAACATTCAGTAGGAACAAAGGACTAAATGGTGGAGCATGAACTTCCCACGCCTTGATGGCTTAATGGAGGAAAGGACTTGACCACTGCGATGGATGATGTTCTTGTTCCAAACATCTGCCACCATCTGCCACCCTCCCGTGGAAGGCTTGCTCCCCTTTCTCCTGGCCATTCATTTCTCCTTCCACAGATGGTCATTGCCACCAGCTTCTATGAAGCTAGATG